TAAGTACTCTACACCAACACAGTTTCGGTAGACCCGATATGTTGATACTCAACAGGCGACACCATGACCATCCCCTCGTGACCAGATAAAGGGTGGTTACCACCTTAGAAAAAACCATGAATTTCACTTAAATGTTCATAACTTCATCAAACGCTTGTACATAGGTATATAACAAGTGAATACCTGGTCAAATATCCTCTAATCTTTCTATTTCGTAGTGATATCTTCAGCTTCAGACTGACTTTCATTACTGTCGTGCGCACCTTCATCTTCTTCCACCTAAGCTTACCTCTAAACAGTTGGTTCTGGATACTTCTTGAGGTAAGTTTTACAGTCAGTACAAAGAACTCACCCAGATGTATCATGGGTGATCTAGTCCTGCGTGTTTTTGTGCTCCTGTTTCGAATTTCGCCCGCAGCTCGCTTTTGTTATTCACTTTTCAGGTTTACCTAACCAGTCCTGCATTCAAATGGAATCCTACAAGTCGCACTTGTCAGTGGGAAGTATTGCCATCAAAACATCATGACGAAAGCGCACGCCTCAAGGTCATGACCGTGATGCGGCCTCACCTTCAAGAATATTGGATGATTCAAATGATAACCGGATAATCTTCAAATTCGAACTAAGCCTGCTTCAACACACCTCTTATGTGCCATAAATCACAGCATCTAATGTATAGCATAACATTGTACATAATAGCCATTTCTAGTTACCAAAATGGCCAAACCTGTAAACTGGTTTGTATTCATGTAACCTCTGTTGTATGAAATATATATTTTAATCTTTACCGGGTTGTTGTATTACCAGCGACCGTTTGCTCGTAGAAAAAGCCAGGGTTCCACCTCCTGGGCGCAGCAGGGTCATTTTGAGGCAGCGTTTAACCTTGTAACCGGCTGGCAGTAGTTGTGAGATCCGTTCCGGTTTTGCCTTTGTTACGGCAAGGTGAACCATATGACAATCAACCAGCACCTCTCGGCAGCATCATAATCCCAGAAGTAGAGTTCCTGGTTGATTGGCCACCACTTAGAACTGGCAAGCGACACAAATGGGATGGCTATCTCCCAACAAACGCCGCATAGTTAAGACAGTATTTGAGAAGCAGATGTGATGGCTGGTATGAGCACTTCTTAAAAGCCATGAGGAAAGCATGTCCAAATGAAGGATCTACAGGAAAGCGTCAAATCCTAATGCTTATATTGCTCTAAAAAATGGGTGTAAAATCAAGGTGAGGGAGACAGAAAGTCGTCCCAGCCAAAGCATTCCTAGAGGCTTGCGGTGGACTCCGAGAAGCTATGCTGATTCGTGGTGGAGAGAAAACCTACCGGCTTAGGATCTGCAACAGGAAGGACCCTGCCATAAAGAACCTGTCTGGACTAGAGATCACCGAAACACCTGGTGTTGTCTTCGGAACGGCTAAACATTCTGCCACCAGCCAAAATTAGCAGCTGCCTGAACAGCCTGCAACACTGCCCAAAGTAGAAGAAATGCGCAAACGCAGCTAACCGTTGCCATGGTCCTCAAAAGACAGTCAAAGGTCCGGGGTGAAAGTTCTCAGAACGCGAGGAAATTTGGCCATGTGAGTAGAAACAGTGTGCGGCCGCCTCATGTGATCTGCTCTATTTCCTGTTAGAATACTCTAGATAAACACGTGCTTACACGCAGCGAAAACGTGCTACTCTCTACCCCATACTGATAGGAAGAGACAAGCAGGACCTAAAGCGCTGCTGACCTAGATCACTTCTACCAGTGCCGTCGAGGGTAATCCAGAGCATGATCGATGACGGCTTCAAGGAGCATTCGCTCGAAGGCGGGGCACCAGGTAAGGCTCAACTCAGTTCCGAACTGTTGGGCCCTGCACCTCGAGTGTCCTGGCACCCACTAGTGATTGGATAGCTCGCTGGTGCCCTCAAGCTCTTGTTCATGTGGTTTTCCTGGATTTTGCTTGAGCCCCTCACACTGTCTCACCCATTGGAAAGAAGAGGCATCCGTGACCGGAAGACTATCTAGACAGCAGAAGGTTCTGCTCGAAAGTACACAACGTTTGCTCGATTTGGGGAATGTAATCATCTGGTTCATCACAAGGGGCGATTCTTGACCCACTGTTGCTCATTCTTCTTGCGGACCAATACCCCGATGGATCCTAGATTCCTGGTACTACTATAATCTGATCATAATGAATTACTGAGAGCTGTGAATGCTGGAGTGGAACCAGGGGGCCGTGGGTTGCCGCAGTAGTGAGTGAATGATGAAGGACTTGCATCTATACTGAATCGATGTCGAACCGTGTATCTCTATACTACTGACTAGCAGAAAGTAATTTTTACCCAGTGTTAGGAAACTTACTCATGAGACCCCTAAGAAGGACCTGTAGCTAATACTGAACGGCAAGCTGGATACCAGATTTAATTCTTCGGGAGACGGTTCCAGAGCTTATGCCGTACTACAACTAATGTGCAGATGATTAGATTCCCCCACCCCAGAACTTTTTCTGGAGCTCTAGAAGGCCCATATACAACCTCACTTGTACGTCCACTACGTAATTGCACCACCATAAGTGAAAAAAGACTTGAATCCCTTGGGGAAAGTCCAGAAGCCAGCAATGAATGGTGTCACGGGAATGCGGCGAAAGCCACAGGAAAGTAGGTTAAATAATGAAGGTTGGGCCCTGTGTGTTCACACTTTTTCTCCCTCCTGGTTTTCGGCCACTAAATCTTAGTGACTGCCGAGATTGCTACCATTTCATCTGTCGATGGTTCAAACAAGACTTTCGACGGGTTTGCAGCGATACATAGCTTAAGCCTACCCAGCTGGAGTTCTGACGAAACCGAAACAGCCAGGTGATTCCACTTTGTTTTAGTACGGTCAGCCCCATACCGACTCTCCGGTACTCCCACTATTATCGTGAACCTGGTTCAAGCTTGTGTTTCTCTTTAGACTCCTCTTCTCGAGTTACTGTGCTTCCATTAGTAACATTACCAGGTCTATTTCCTTTTTCTCCGTTCTTATCGTAAGTAGGATCTTGGAAACCTGCAATTATATCGTAATTACAGGATTTCATCGGTAGTATTCTTAAATATCACTGCATCCGTCTTCAAGCAACTCCTCCGCAATCGTGCAACCTGCGATGAACGTCCTTATGGTGTCACAGGAAGATGCTACCACGAAGCTTGTGACATTTGTTCATCCAGTGTTTCGTTGAGCGGCGCCATTTCATCCACTGCAACTGTAAACAGCGTGCAAAAATGCAGAAAGATACAACTTTATCTACAAGTGCGGATTATTTGACTCAACCCTGAAATTCAAAGGAATTTGACCAATATTCACCGAGCCATTAGGCGTGGTGCAGAGCATTATGGCGGCTACGGTGGACAGTTGTTCAATTTAGCATGAACACGCAAAAACAGATGGTTTCATCACAGAGGTGATATATTCTTGTCAGCATTGTTTATCATTGTCTATACAGTATATCTTGACGTTTTATTGCACCTGGAAATGCATGTCCCTTGAAATATGCATTGAATATGCCGTGGTACTTCCCTCGATATATATGATCCTTCAAATTAAAGCACTCGAGCAGTTTGACCAGCACTGTCTTTTTGGGAAAAAAGTTGAGTTACTTCCGGTTCTTTTTGAATGATTCTTTTACATATTCATCAGACATGACTTTCATTTCTGCCAGATAACCTAAAAGCATAACAAAAAGTCTAGCTCTGTATTGTAGTGCATCAGTTGTACGTGGTGTAACATTTTCTTTCTTCCAGATTGGGGATTTCCACTACCTAGGATGAAAAGGAGTTGGTAAAAAGTTTAAAAATGTCACCGAAGATTTCCCACTACTAGTTGTTATAACCGTATCTGTGAGAATGATATGAACCTGTAAATTCAGCAAAAAATTTAGTATCATTGCTCGCATTACACCGTCGTTGACTGAACCGAATCGATCAGTCTCTGTTGGCATGTGGGCTCCTGTGTGGATGCCTCCATATTGCCTGTGTTTTAATTGTGTATGGTAATGGTGGGTAGCAGTGGATTCCGGGGTGCACATTTCGTCCATTTGGGACTCGTCAGCCGGATGTACCTGCCTCCCAGTGAGTGATGTTGTTCCCACCGGGATTCGGACTCTGGAGCGACCGTTTCAAATGCAAGGGGGTAATCCACTACATTAACTGGCCAGGATTGCCACTTCTTGTGCAGCGGGTGCAGTTTTGGTGTTATCGCTTGGCCGTCGTAGCTTTGTGGTGTAGTGGACGACGCTGTCACGTCTGGAGCGATCGCTCCTGAGTCCAATTCCCAGTGGGAACAGCACTCACCGGGAGGCAGGTACATCCGGCTGACGAGTCCCAAATCCTGGATTCCACTACCCATCACTACCATCAGCAACAAATTATTATTATTCCAAGTATCCCCTTACATTCTTACACACTCCTTCCCCTTCCTCACATTCAGTGATTTTCCCTGGGTCTCTAAAACCCTTTCGTTCTGCTTCTTTTCAACTTGTTTTTTCTTCCTCTGCACAAATTTTGGACATCTTTCTATTTACCCCATCTCCTTTGCGCAGCCAGTCAGAGAAAATGTTTGGTGGCAAAACATTTGGGAAACTCACCCGCAACACAGTCATCAGACGGATTGTACAACCTCTACAAATTTAGTCAACACCCAACCATCCATCGGGGATACTGGGGCTACAGCAGGCGAGTAGGTAAATGAGCCGGATAGAAAAACACCGAGGACCTAGGGTTGTTCCTCGGAATCTTGAAGAGCGCGCTAAAAAATCAATCGTTTCTCACAAGCTTGTTAAGAGACATTAGAAGTTGGAAGTAACTTAGGTGACTGTCTTTGTTGTAAAACCAAACACAAGGATATGAACCCCAAAGCTAAATATTTGTACAAACTAAGGTTGTATTGAAAATCCAGAAGCTAACGTCATATTCTAAGAGGCCGTGCGTTCTTTTCCTCTACCACCAGTAGTTTAATGTTGCGCTACACTTCACTGTCGTCATAACAGAATTTAGGCACTAATTCAAAATTGGCATGTCTCGTTATGCCGTTTTCTCCACTTGATCTTTTGGACGATGACCACTTCAAACGTAACCCAAAAGATAACAACAGAGGAAATGAGAATTCCAGTCGTAAAGAAGTCAAAAAAGAGAAAGATAAAGACCGTATGCTTTTTTTGCACATAGTTTCTTCTCTAATGTTTAGAAATACTTACCTGTAATTCATTCAAAGAAGTTACACAGGAGATGGGAGTAGAGTTCGATCAGGTTTCATGCGCACAGATGCATGTTGGACGCAAAAATGAAGGGCTGAACATGGTGGAAAAAGCTTCAAGTACGTTGTCGATGTTTCAGGATTATTTGTAAAACTGTTAGAATTTGAAATAAATCCATCGCCGGAAAATTCTTTGAATTCTAACTGGAGGTCTATTCCAAACAGGTGGGGTGTAGAAACTTTATATTTACCCCAAGGTTAGTTTATTTCACTGTAGATTCGTAATAACTATTCATCATCATACTGTATATTAGCTCATCCCATGAAACAACTTTGAGGCTAGCTAAACTAAGGCAATTCTCTGTGTGACTTACCACACTTATGTTTACACTTTGCCGCTAAAAGTTCTCTCTGCTGTCATGAGGACTTTATATTACAGCCTTCGTTCTTCAGTTAAAAGTATAGTAAGCTATTATCCTCTGTTATTCTTCGCAATAATTATCTCCATGAAGGTCGAGTTTTTCTTTGAAAGCCATCACCAAAAGAGCTTTCACCACTTGGTTTGGCAACAAGTTTCAGTCATTGGCGACTCTATGACGGAGTAGTTACTTCCCCTTATATGATTCCACCTTCGCTTTCTGATTAATTTTGATTAATTATGATGCACAATATGAGTGATTCAAAACAGGTCACCCTTTCTTCTACCACAGGATAAGAGGAAAAGGTTTAGCCTTGCTAGATTTACTTAGGAAGATTCAGGTTCAGATTTGTTGTTTGGGCATAGGAGGCTGACAGCCTATAATAATCCCTCTCTATTAGATTTCTGTTTCCTGTCCAATTCCCTTTTGAACCAGTCAGTTGATGATGAGGGCACCACTTCTAGAATTCGGTTCCAGGCATTCATTACTCGACGCGAGAACCAGTACTCTGAGGAGACTATGTTCGTTTTTTGCTTTTGTAGCCACCTACCATGTCCTCTGAGGTATTCCGACCTAGTAAAAAGGAAAAGGGAAGGCAGATCAGGTCCAAGGTCATTTTTTTAGGATCCTGTATAGCATGATTAGGTCTGCCCTCTGTCTGCGACAGGACAAAGTGAAGACGTTCAGCTCCTTAAGTCGGTCTTCATAGGTGAGGCCAGCCATCGCAGGGATCATACGAGTGGCTGTCCTCTGAACTCTTTCTAGAAGGTCTGCGTCACCTTTCAGACAAGGAATAATCACCTGTGTACAGTTTTCTAACTCAGACCTAACTGTGGATGTGTATAAGATGGTGAACATGTCACTAGTCATTTTCGTAAACGTTCTACCTAATGCCCAGAGAGTCCTAAAACTACGACCTGCTACCAATTGACAGTGAGCCATGGTTTTCAAGTCGTAAATCACCGTGACTCCTAGGTTACTGTGGGTCAGTACTGATAGTAGAGGAGTCCCATCAGTATCGCAGGTGTTGCTGTGTGTGCCCCAAGTGCATGCCCACACATTTACATGCGTTGGTAGGCATCCACCACTTCTCTGACCAGGTGAACAAGCCGTTTAGGTCTGCCTGAAGCGCACGTATATCCTCATCGTTCTTAATTTCCCGTCAGATTTTTGCATCATCAGCGTAGAAAACCGAAGAAGATTTCGTGATGTTTGTCAGCTCAATTACGTATAGAAGAAACAACAGGGGACCCAGGACTACCTTGCGGCACTCCACTCCCTACCGACTTCCAAGTGGACAGTCGAGAGTTGATCCTTACGATATGTCTCCTACAAATAAGGAACCCTCTTATCCATGCAAGTAGACCGTCAGTGATTACAAAACTTCCCAGTTTCCCGAGCAGCCTCGAATGAAGTACCCTGTAGAATGCCTTACTAAAATTTATGAAAGCGACATCTACATGCATCCTTTCATCTTTAGACTTAACCCAACTTTCTCTGACTGTAAGAAAGTTCGTCAAGCAAGAGAAATTTCTACGAAAGCCATACTGCGAAGGAGACAATAGTGTGTTGCTCTCTACACGACTTTCTTGATTACTTTTTCTAGGATTTTTACTACAGTACCAGTCAAACTTATCGGTCTGTAATTTGATGGGAGTTGCCTAGAACCTGCCTTGTGGATAGATGTAACTATGGTATCCTTCCAGTCATAATCCACTGTGCCTTCACTGAGAGACAGTCTAAAAATAATATTCAGTGGCTGTCAATGCTCTTACTGTTAGATAAGTGTCCACAGGAGATTCCTGTGTAAAGAACTCATCACAATATCCAGCCATGGCTTCTGCTTTTTCCCTATCGTCCTGAATCAAACAGTCGGTTTCGGTCCCACTGATCAGGGTGGGTATATCACGACATATCTTATTTCTGTGGTTCATACTGCAAAATAACCTCTTCGGATGTTGCAGTTTAGCCTGGATATGACGTGTTTCGAAACATATTCGAGACCTGTGGATAGCAGCGATACATTTATTTCGGGCTTCTTTGTAATGCTTCACCACTTTGGGTGTACCGAGGTGGTGGCAAGACTCCAACACGTTTTTTTACGTCGTAGCAAGATTCGGATTTCGTGGTTTATCCACTGAAAACAATGTTTCAGTCCCCTTGGGACAGTCCACGAAATGAACGGTTGGGTCACTCGTGAGTATAACTGTCTGAAGTAGCACCACGCACCTTCAACTTAGGCTTCTGGACTGACTGTCCAGTCTTCCTAAGAGGCTGCCAATTTAATGGCTTCCATATTCACTTTCCATATGTTGGGTCTAGCTGGGGTATCGGCCTAGTACAAGACGTATGCTGTGAATCTGAATCTGATCACAACGTGATCACTTTCACCAAGGGGTGCTAGATGCCGAATGAAGCATACATTATCTGTGCTTGAAAATACTAAGTCTAGAATTGGTGGAGCATGCTGATAATCATATTTGGTTGCTGTCCTAATGTGCTGTATTAGAGCCAAGGAAATGGATGTTTCCACTAACCTGTGATCAGACGGGTTACGTGGTGTCTTTGTTGTCAGTCTGTCTCAGTCAACTAATGGTGCATTGAAGTCTCCTACAACCGGGCATCGGCATTTATCTGTTCGGAGGATCAGCCTATTCAGGAGGAAGTCTTCTGCCTCATATTCAGGGCTTCTATGCACTACGATTAGGTTAACATCCTGTCCATTGCATTTTAGTCGGCAGCGCAGCATTTCACATGTCCTAATGTTGTGTGCAACCGTTTCTATGGGATTTTAGAGCTAAGGTATTCTTAACGTAAAGGATGACACCACCACCAGTCACTTCTAAAAGGGATAATCCTCACTGATCCAAAAACGGGGCCAAGTTTCTGAGGTGGCAATGATATCAAAGCTTTCGTTGTTTATCACATTACTAAGCCCAGTCCACTTAGCGTGCATGTGTATCATCATTATTATGAATAAACCTCCATATCTAAGCATCATCAGTAAATAGCAGTTACGAAAACCCAAATATTCTTGGTGTTCACTAAAGTAAACAAGGAAGGACGTTATTCCAAAGACATTTCACTTGGTAACAACAGTGGTGATAGTTTGCTACCCAGAAAAGGGTTACATTTCTCTTACTCTTTGCCTGCTTTCGTATAAGTATTCCCCAATCCAGGCACGAACCATACTGTCAGTACCAAAATCTGTGACGCCTCTTCAACAGTCTTGTGTGGCACTTTACTAAATGTGTTGCTAAAGTCAATAAATAACAATCTACGGGAAGTTAACTGCTTCCTACCTGAATTCAGTCCTCCCTCGCCAGTTTGCTAGGGAAAAGCATCCGGCCCTAAAGTCACGTCACTCCTTTGTCAGTAGGTAATGTTGTTCCAAACGCTTGAGCGTCTCATCACGTATTATCTCCATTATCTTAACCGAGATACTAGTAAGATTAACAGTTCGGTGATAGGTAACCAGTTGTCTGTTACCTCTCTTAAGCACAGAACTTATTACAACATTCTTCCAATCCCTCTGTAGCCGTTACTGAGATCAGAATATATTGAATAACACAATTAAAGATGCATAAACACTCGGCTGGCAGTGACAGAATTCTAGGATATAATCTGTATTGACCCGGTGACTTTCCGAGCTTAAAGTTTCTGAGAAGTCGGAAGACTTTTCCCTTTCGGATTTGAACATTTCCTGTTACAGAAACGTTTGAAACAATATCTACGTCCAGAATCACATCAGAATTGTCACTATAAAGCACTGAGCTGGACCAGTTAGATTAAATATCTGGTTTGACCAGGTCCGATTCTGCCACATCTTCCGCTTCAATATATGGTAACAAAACAAGGATACTCTCACTCTCTCTGTCCCTCTTCTCGATATTAGAAAATAGACAATCGCTCACTAATGGTCTTCTGTATACTCTACGACGTACGCTGATAATAGACTCGAATTTATTTTTAACCTTACAGTATTCTAGTCTACATGTCCTACTGCCTATCGTTATGAATGTATCCCATGGGCGTTGTTCTGTCCTAGTTACCTTTAAGTTTTTCTGTCAATCAAAGCTGGTCTATGAGAAGGTTTGTGATTAGTAAACCAAGGAGTGAGTGTAGATGTTACACCACCATATATGTTCTTTAGCTTCTACTAAGCATTCTTTTTCAAAAAATCTGCATCAAGAGATCAGTTGGTCAATTTTTGTTGATTTTCGTCTCCTTCTGACTACACTATATTTATATAGTTATTCTTTTATATCCTCCCAAAGCGATAAGGATGACTGAAGTGAGCCGAGCAGGTCAGTAATTGGGATCGTAGGAAACCTTGTTGTCGAATATAATGTTTTTAATTTTTCTGCTCTCAATAATTATTTCATCCGTGATAACTCTTGTAGCAAGTTCTGCTGTTAAGACCTAGTTCCTCATCGAAGGAGGTCCCCGATGTAGCTGAGAAGGACTTCTCGTCTTTGATCACTCTATGCTTTGGCTGTGCGTTCGACAAAGCAATGAAAATAAATGTAGTCGCTGTGAATGTTCCTTGTAGGATAGGTTGGATAGATCAATTAATAACTTATCTCTGACCCTTTGAACCCATTTCGTGGCTTGTCACCTTTTTTAAAGCAAGGAATACTGTTTGAATACAGTATTCACGATGAGGTCACAAAAAATTGGGATGTATTATCTTTAACACTTCTGCAAAGTATTTGAAATCTCTGCAAAGAGACCATGGTATGCAGAACTCCTTCAGTGAAAATGTATCGTAGAGTGAACATGCGGTTCTTGGCTGTCTGTTATTCTCAATCCTTCAGTTACTTGGGCATCAGTTACTG